ATATGCAAGATAGGCAACTCATAAATTCAATGAATGAATGAATGAATGAATGAATGAATGCTTGAGCAAGGGGATGGACTAGAAGACTTCAAAGATCCCTTCCAACTATGGTGATGATAATGAAGAAGAAGAAGAAGAAGAAGAAGAAGAAGAAGAAGAAGAAGAAGAAGAAGAAGAAGAAGAAGAAGAAGAAGAAGAAGAAGAAGAAGAAGAAGAAGAAGAAGAAGAAGAAGAAGAAGAGACTTGCCATGAGACAGGTAATCTATTAGGTGGTATATATTAAATACATTAACTTGCATTAATTGCAGAATTAACAAGTGTCTATAGCCTATATTTTAATGCAAAATAAGATCAGGTCCTTGAAATGGGGAATTGGCAATCTAAACTTACCAATGAATCCCTCGGCTGGCTTTGCTCTTTTCAAGGATATATAAGACTTTTGAAATGTTGAAAGCATCTCAAGGGTGCTCTCATAAAATGGCTGCCATGGTGCACATAATCAATCAATCAACATTCTTGGCCCACAGTGGAATAAAATTACAGATTTAGTAGTAGGTGTTAATGCAATAGACAAAATATATTACAAGACTGTATGGTTCTGCATATGCTTTGATTTCTTCTTGCCTCTGTACTCAGGTTGAGTGTGCCAGGTATCTACCAATCAATATCATACAAAATACCTCAACTTAAAATTCTAATACATAAAATAAAACAAACGCAAATGCTTCCAGATTATTATGAGAGATGTTGTTTGATCCATCCCGAAAACTTCAGATTCAGGGAAGGCTGGCTTAAATCCCTTAAATTCTTGGGAAAAGTTTTGCATTGAGTGCTTAGATTTTCCTTTCTGGCTCAGCTGTTGGATTTTCAATATATTTTGAGTAATATATAAGAAGATTTAAAGTGAGAAACAGCATTGAATGAAGATAAAGCACTTTCTTTTATGATGCAAATTTCTCTCTCTCTCTCTCTCTCTCTCTCTCTCTCTCTCTCTCTCTGTGTGTGTGTTTGTGCGCATTTGTGATATCCTTGTATTTTAATATTCACTATGACAAAATTATCAAAGCTGAGGAATGCCAGTCTTTTGCAACTCAGCAAATCTCTAATGGGTATCTAGCTGCCAAATAAGCTTTGTCTTTAGTTCTGTGTATGTTACCACCTCCTTAGATAAACATGGGAAGATAATACATGATTTATCTTAGTGTGGGAAACTGTTGAAGGCAAACTGATCACTCCAAAACAAGCTACATTGCACAAACAGCAGTGACCGTAAGAGCAGGAAGGTTAAAGATAAGATAAAGGCATAATTCTTTTTTTTTTTAAAGGAGGCCTAACATGTCCAAAATCTAAGAAAGCTTTGGTTTCTGAGTTTTAAAAGCTCCATACAAACAAATACTCATTCAAATGTCATCCAGGAAGAGTCCTTAAGAATTTAGGGGGTGTCCATGAGGTACCAAGAAATCTATCATGCTACAACTCAAAAATTTTATCTAGGACCCAGGAAAGCTCCTTTATCATAAATTTAAAATACTGTCATTCTTCCTTTCGGGCTACATGGTTAAAATGTTGGTAGACCGAGATACAGAATTAAGAGTGGCTATTTTCATGGCTGCAAGGAGACTTGAGGACCCACTAAATAGGTTTTCCAGTGCAAGTAATCATTGGGAAGAGGAGATTCTGCTATTTTTAACATTCCTTTCTAGCATAGCTAAAGCCATGTCTTTCACAGAAGTAACATTGCAATTAAAAAGTGTCCATTATTACATTTTTGAAACTCAGCTTGGTTGGCTCCAATGACTGGCTTGCATCAAGTATAACAACTGTTGGAACAATGAAACTAGGACAGTAATTGTGTGATTATAGCAATCAGATCTTGATACTTATGCAAACTAGAATCTATTACATAAAACTCAAGTAGAACTTATTATCTTTGAGACAGCTGTCCTAACCCCGTAGTAATCTTGTCATGTATGAACTAAGATTATTTACAGACAATCCCTGCAAAAGTGTTTAATTGTGTATCCAAGGCAATTTAGTATTAAATTAAAGTTAAATTCTAAAAGGATTCCAGTTGAACTGAAAAGATACAATACCATGAACATTAGAGAATTTAAAAAGAGTAGAAATTCAGTATTTATAGCTCTGTCTTTCTCGTTATTACTTTCAACTCTCTTTCCCTTTCTCAGTCTCCAAGTATTGGTTCTCAGTTCAATTAGATTCCTTCATCTGCTGCAAAGGTTTTTCAAGGCAGAACCGACTATTTGAGTTCCTACCTCTACTGCTTCTATGTCAACTAGCTTTGATTAGAGTTTTAGCTTTTATTTTTTTAGTTATGGATGGGGGAGGGAGAGATTTATTCATTTTTAGATTTATATCCCATTTTCTTTCAGGAGTTCAAGGTGACTCCTTCCTCTTAGTCCTCCCTACAACAACAGTAATGTGAGGTAGGTTGGACTGAGAGAAAATGACTCACCTAAAGTCACCCCATGAATCTCTGTGGTTGAGGAACCAGTGTTGGTCACCATGAAAAGCTCTTATTCAAAGTAATCTTAGAGTGAATTCTCTAGCTCTATCTGTCTCCATGTTTTTCACAGGTTTAGCTTCTTGTTTTGTGAAAACCATACTGTTTAAGATGACCGAAAGAAGAGAAGAGGTTTAGAGTAGCAACGAAAAGAGATGATTTTCTTTTTTTGCAAAACTTATGTTGTAACCGTCCTACTACTGTATGTAGGTTGTTGATTTGTTTAAAGCTAAGATCATTTGCTTTTCTCACACGGATGAGTGTAGAGCTCAAGGCTCCAGCAAGTGAGGGAGAAAAAAAATACACCCTCGTTTTGTCATTCTCCCAACCACTCAACCTGAGAGCAAGGAGCAGGCATTCACTAAAAAAAAAAAAAAAAAAAAGTCTTGGGAGTCTGCTTCAGATCTAAGTGGAAAAGAGCCTGGTATTTCCCAGAACAATTACTTGAAGTAATTCCTCATTATTTTTAATAACATCTTTACAGAGGCATTTTATGCTGTAGATATTTGCGCAATCCTGTAAACCCTGCGCTCTCTTACCTCACTGAAACTTCTGAATTTACCCAACAGTCGATTCAGATGACCACTTGAGGCAATGATATATTTTGCTGAACAAATGCAATTGGACATATAAGTTCTCTACCTGTATTTTGTGGAGCTAAATAAGATTTCTGGTTGTCAAATAGAGCCCAAATATCTATCTTCCCTGCCTCCTTGCCCCCCCTCCAAACAGCCCCATTTTTGAACAGATTTCCAAAATCTTTCCAATTTATAGACTGGATTTCTGCCTGGGCAAGTGCTTTATATGATGTTGTTAAAGTCCGATGGGGGAGAGAGAGATATTCCTCGCTGAACTGATCTTTCTTTGCTCTTAGAAAGAATGAAATGTCTTGGCCATTTCCCCAATCTTGTTAATTCAAAGCAATAGCTTTGCATAATTTCATATTTTGTTTCATTTGTATCTCAGGTTGCTGTAGTCATAATAACAAACATGTAAGAAGTGGCAATTCAAGCAGAATAATTTCTTTGGTGATGGTTTGGGATATTAAGTGACATTTTGGGAAGGCAATATGCTTCCCATTACATATAATAAATTAAATGTGGTTGTTAGCATTCCAGGCACAGTTTCTTATTTGAATAATGCAACAGCCTGAGAAGAAGCTGAATGTAAATCATTCATGAATAAAGTCTTTCCTGTTTCTCTCTACTTTAAACTATTTACTGTAAATAGGATAGTATAATCTTTCATGTAATGTGATCAGTGCTTAATTGCGGCACAAAGCAGCAGTGCTACAGCATAATATAGTTGAAGTTACGTTAAACAAAACAAGATCTTCCCAAAGCAAATTGTTTTACATAAAAGATCTGCCCTTAAATAATTCTGTTTCTTAAGAATTTTATTAAACTTCAGGTTCAAACAGCAAATCAGTTTTTTAAAAAAATATGACTCTGTAAAATACAGTGTTCTTGTTAAAGTGGAACTGATCTGACCCTCCTGAACTGACAGAAAAGTTTACATGTGACAAATGCCCTACTGTATTGGCACTGGAATAATTTTAACAGTTGGGGATTGGTCTGGATTCCTGAGCATTGTTCTAATATAACTGTAGATAAATGTCTTATTCAGTTCATTAGGTCACCTGTGCGTTCCTTTTAATCAGTTTTGGATTCCATGTAATTACCTGGATAAATCACTTTTTTTTTTAACCAAGATTTCAGAGATTATTTGCTATTGCCTACTTCTTAGGGCTGAGATAAAGTGACTGGCCCAAGGTTACCCAGCTGGCTTTGTGCCTCAGGCAGGACTAGAATTCCTGATCTCCCAATTTCTAGCCTGATGCCTTAATCACTACACCAAACTGGCTGTCATTACTTTATCTAGTTTCATCTTTATCAAACCAGTTTTTCCCCAACCTGATATCCTGATATTTTAGAAGTATAGTTGCAGAATTCCCACCCAACATTGCAAAAATATGGTGGGAATTCCAGATCCCACACATCTAAAAAGGCTCTATGCAAAGGCTGATGGAAGTGCTGTCCAGCTACAGTAGGTTTGAGCAGGCAAAAAACAAACAAGCAAGCTAAATTAGCATGGAATTTGTGGTTCCCAAAACTCACTTTCTACCTTGTTCCTACTATAAACTTTGTACCCTCCTTCTAATTAATTTGTACTCTCAAACTGGAGAGCCAAAGGGTTAACTTTGTCTGCACCTCATACTAGAAGCCTCAAGACATTCCCTCCTAAGGGAGGGGTTTTATTCCTGTGTATACCAAATGTCAGCCCTTTGACAAACAAGAAACACCAGCACCAACCATGAGTACTAGCACAACCTTTATTGTGAGTTCACATTAACAGAATCTTGCAAGTCTGAAAATATATCTCTCTTCACCCCACATCTGTACAGGGAGGCATCGCTTGTGGGACATTTGCTGTCTATGCCCCCATTTTTTCTGTGGGCTCAGCTGCCTCTTATCTGACTGTTGCCTAGTTTGTGACTCCTCCCTTCTTTCAAGAACATTCTCACAAACCATTGCACTATGGTTATATTCACTGCTGAAAATGCTGTCTTGATGGTACACACAGGTAGTCTCAAAGGTGCTTTTTCCAAGGCAACTGGATTTTCTTGGGGTTTTTTTTTCCTTTAAAAACATTTTGCTTCTCGTCCAAGAAACTTCTTCAGTTCTAACTGACTAGTGGGGAATGGAATTATTTATATTCTTTGCAGTCATTAGCACTTTGAAGGTCAGTTTTTAGCTCTCTGAAAAGTCATTGAGGCCATTTGGGGCTTTATCCGTATCCTCAGAGTCACCTGAATCAGAGTGCAATTGGGTGTGGAACCTTCTTGGGATTGCTGAAAGAATTGCATTGTAAACAGGAGATCGGTGGCGTTGTATCTCTCTCCCTTTGAGGACATCAAAGTTTACATTCTGGACAGAGAGGACCACTGGTTTGAAAGAGGAGTCAAAAAGAGGCCATCTATGTTAGAACTGAACAGCCCTTGCTCAACAGAAATTTTAAAAATGTCAACAACCATGAACAATAATTACAATAGGGCTGGATCTAAAACCTAGAGCTCAGTATATAAGTGATTTTAAAATGGACAATCTGCACTTGATAGAGAATAGCAGCTAATGGAGAACCAAATCCTTCCACTTCATAATGAACCTTGAAGAAGGGCCAGAGCATAATGGCACAGCATGTAGGGTTCAGTCTGGACCAGCTCTAGGTAGTGTTGGAGGAGACTCTCATCTGAAATCTGAACAGATGGTTCCAAGTCAACGGAAACCAGACATGGGCAACCTATGATCTGTGAGTTTACATCATCTCTGCTTGTTTCAACTCTTGGAGTTCCTTCAGATGATGCTACCAAAAGATCATTATTTTCCAGAATTAGAAATAAAACAGTTGTCCTGACAACACACTAACATAAGTTTCCTAAATCCAAACTGTTTCCAAAAGGGAGGGGAAATGAAATCATCCCCACCCATAGCACATTATTTTACCATCATGTCACCTTCAATGTTCACCTCCTAATAACATTAGAAAAAGAAAGGCTACAAAAATACTGGTCCATACTGGTGCATAGAAGATTTGCAATACACCCATGAGAAAAGAAATTAGGTTGTCAAAAATTTCCCTTGTGAAATTGTGCTTGAGCAGGTATAATTCCTAACATTCGTAGATTACAGAGTTTTTAACTTGACTTATTTTGTTACTGATGCTTGCCAGTGTTTGGCAACTGTGAAACAGTCTGACTGCCCTAGTGATGACCCTTGGATTTGAGTCTTTGTGAATGGCTCCCTCCATATCAACCCAGCTATGCATTCAGTTCTGCCTTGAAAGATCTCTCTTTTCAGAATAGATAATAGCTAGGCTTTGGGGTGGAAAGATATGGCTGAGAAAAAAAAATGGATTGAAATAACTCTATCATTTCTACTCTTCTTCCTTATCAACTGTCCCTTTCCTCCAGCTTCCTGTATTAGAGAGATGTATTCTGTATCTTAACCTCTTCATATAGAAAGTGCTAGCTAGTACTGATTTAATTAATTTGATTTAATTGGTTTGTTGCTGAGGGAAATCTATGGAGAAACCATTAGGCTCTTGCCTTTTGATTCTTGTTTCTGATGAGTGACTTTCTTTTTGTTTAAAAACAATTGTGTGCTCATCTTTGAAGTCATTTGCATACACACACACACACACACTTATGAATAAATGCATTACAATCAATTAATAAATAGTTAATAATGCCTACTTTGGGAACTCCAGTTTCTTCTGGGTGTGAATTTATAGTACTTGTAAACAGCAACTTAAAGTCAATTTTTGACTAAAGTCAATTATATATGGCTACTGGGCATCTTTCCATGAACCATCCATAGAAATTCTCCAGCATCACTTGGCTATCTTCTACTGAAGTATGACAAGAGCTCCAAGAAATGGTTGAAATTGTTCAAAATCCTAATACAATAATTTTTAACCTTGAAGATTTCTTGGCTTACTGTCCATTTTATATAGGAGCTTTCAATTAATTTTAGTGTTTGGTATACTCCCCCTTTAAAAAAAAGAGATAGCACTAAATTATTTTGCAATGATGCTTTGGGGGTTGCATCATCATAAATACCAGTGTTTAATTCTTCCTTCAGTTAGCATTTGTCCTTGATCTCTAGGTGCTAGCTGGTCAGGATTTATTTATTTATTTTTTTTAAACCAGAATTCTGTATGGTTTTGTTCAGATGTTATAACCATTACTGACTAACAGGAGACATAGTGCAACCAATTTCATCCTTCCAAGGAGATGCACTATAGCACGGGTGTCAAACTTGATCGTGTGATGTGACGTATCATGACATTTTTTACCTTTCCAGAGCCAGGGTGGGCGTGGCCTGGACGTGACGCATCTGGCCTGCGGGCCGCCAATTGCACTGTAGCATCTATGGTTCTGCTCACATTTTCTATCTCTAAGGGAAGGGAAACCTTTAGTTAGCCCACCTCTTAACACATGAAGGATGGTGATAGGGGGGCATTGAAGATATTGGATTAATGAGCCTAGTCCTGCCTACTTCTCATGCAATTGTAATTGCCCAATCACTTTCTCCTTCAGTACAATAGCAGGGGAGAACAGAAAAGATCCTCATCACCTTTTAAAAGCTTTGGAGTTGTGTTCCATATTGATTCTGGCTTGAGTACAAAGAACAGGATAAATGGCTTGTGCTTTCTTATCATGTCTGGGTTGTTCAGTAGTTGCAGCTGCAAAGCAATCCAGCACATGCAGAGCCAGTAAATTTACAGTTCACTTAATTCAAGGTATCATCTCAATTCAGTGGGCCAAATTAGAAAATGTATCATATTGTTGCCTTCTTTTGCATATGAATGTCAAAGGAAAAATGGAGGAGGAGAAGTTTATTTAGACAACAATACCCAAATTATCTTTTTACTGGCCTGTAAGCCAAGGTCTTAGCAGCTAATGAAGCCAGTAAACATGCTGTTAGTCTTAAAATTAGTTTAATCATCCTCCCCTTTCCTATATATTAATCTATCTGTTGAGACTCAGCACAGTGTTTTCAGGATTTTACAAAAATATGTGTTTGTGGGATGAAGGGATAGATTAAAGGCCATGGAAGGACGGATGGTCCCAGGGCATTTATGTACTAATGTTGAAATGTTACAACATTGGTTGCATTGGGGAATTCCAAAATAATGGGAGATTTAAGTGTGAAGTACGGATTGCAGATTTAGCTTCTCAGTGGTGTCTCTCTGTTACAGTACTAAGATATCTCATCTTCTAGAGTGCCTTTTGAAAATGCATTGTACCTATCTCTGGAGTTTTCCTTTGTAGAGATTTTGTTCAACGTTCTCTGAAGCTGGATGAAGGTTTCAAGGCTCCATGTATCCCTCTATTCATCTCTGCATATTAAGGATGCATTTATTCTTGAGCTATGCTATTGACAATTACCAAAATACCTGAAATTCAGGATTTTTGAGGCATGGGTTTAACTCACAGGTCGGCAACCTGCGGCTCCGGAGCCGCATGCGGCTCTTTGAGCCTTCCCCTGTGGCTCCCAGCCTCCTCTGCCTTTGCAGAGAGAGACAGAGAGAGGCAATTGCACTTCCCTGCTTCTCTCTCTCTCTCTGTGTGTGTGTGTGTGTCTGGGTGTGTGTGTGTGTGTGTGTGTGTTTTGTGTGTGTGTGTGTATGTGTAAAAGAGAGCACACTCACAGTGTTCTCCGAGGAGCTGAAAAGCTTTCTGGGCGGAGCTCCTCCCTTTCCTGCGTCTCTGAAGGAAGCAGGAAGCAGGAAGGGCAGGAGAGAGCTAGCTAGCCCAGCTAGGCTGACTCAGGAATTCTGGGAGTTGAAGTCCATGAGTCATAAAAGAGACGAGGCTGCCTACCCCGGAGGTTGTTGGACAACAGCTTGAAGCTTGCCAGGTGAGCAGCAGATAGGGGGGGGGAGAAAGAGAGAGAGAGGGAGAGAGAGAGAGAGAGAGTGGGGGAAGAGGAGTGGCAGACCAAGGGCAGATAGAGAGGGAGGGAGAGAGAGACCTTTTTGACATCTAAAATGAAGATAACACTGCATATATCTTTTTTTACCTGTGTGTGTATGTAATTTTATTCTTTTAAAGCATTCTCTTGGTGATCATTGTTTTAATAGTATGGATATTCCCAAGAGTCATATTTTTACTTTTATTTTTAATGTGTATGTGTGTGTGTGTGTGTGTGTGTGTGTGTGTGTGTGTATACACATATACACATACACATACACACACCTATAATAAAGGTAAAAAAGGATATATGCAGTGTTATCTTCATTTTAGATATCAAAAGGGTTTTGCGGCTCCCAGTGTTTTGTTTTTGGTGGGAAACGGGTCCAAGTGGCTCTTTGAGTGTTTTGGGTTGCCTACCCCTGGTTTAACTGAAAAATTCTACATCACTGGAAAGAAAATCTACTCTTGATATGTGGCAATGGATTGATGATATTTTATTTATTTATTTATTAAACCTATATGCCACCCTAAAGGCAACTCGGGCTGGCTTACAGTCAATTAAAAACAATGAGATGAAACATTTATAGAATAGAATAGAATAGAATAGAATAGAATAGAATAGAATAGAATAGAATAGAATAGAATAGAGCTGGAAGGGCCTTGGAGGTCTTCTAGTCCAGCCCCCTGCTCAAGCAGGAGAACCTATATCGTTTCATTTAAAACACTGAAACAATAAAATTGAGTTAAAATTAACAAAAATAGGAGGGAAGGAAAAAAGATGCACACAAGAAAGTGGTGGGGGTTTATCTTAGCCCATTAACCACCTCCAGAATGACATGCCCCCATTGGGACCACAAGTCATTTGGTAAAGCCAGGTCTTCAGGCTCTTTTGGAAAACCAAAGGGTAGATGTGGACGTCACCTTTGGGGCTGTTCCAGCTGGCAGGGGTTGTGATCATGCTGGATGGAATTCCTTGACTGACCAGTTACATAGCACTTCCCTTCTGCCAGTGTGAGTGATGTGGGCCAATTCCATTGGGGTGAAAACCTGGACAAATGCCATGAAAGGCCTTAAAGATAAAAACCAAAACTTTGATTTGGACCCCAAAACAAACTGGCATCTATGGGAAAGCAGTGTTTTATGACCCACCTTAGAAGCTTCAAGAACTGCCCATGAGGCTGCATTCTGCACCAGCTATAGTTTCCTGATACCGTTCAAGGGTGGTTCCACGTGGAGCAAGTCCCACTGGAATGTGGGGGGAAATATTCCATTAATTAGATATTGGATAAGTTAAATATTGAATTAAAGAGAGCTGTTCATAGTTCCAATCATCCAACTGTGCTTCGTTCTAATGTGTCCCATTTTATTCAATCTCACCCAATTTTCTGATAATTCTGGCCAAATTAGGATCATTCTTTGATCAGAGACTTTTTGCTCTAATAATTTTGCATTTCTACAAGCCAAGTTTGTTAATATCTAATTTTATGAACGGATGGCATTATTTTGTTCAAATAATAGTCAGCATTTGGAGAATTGAGTTTGATATGAGTGCTTGACATGGGTCATAAATTTGTGAAGCATTCTTTTAAGACCATATAATGTGTTTTCATCATTTTATTCTGCAGCAATTCACTGTGGACATTAAAGCAAACATGGAATGGAATCTACCAGATTTTATTTCCCATTCATTTCTTGATGACTGTGAAGGTAAACATCTTGGATGAATGTGCCCTTGGTTTATGGAGAAATCACATTCAACTGGCATTCATTTTTCAAACACAAAAATAACCCTGGATTCAAGAAATGCATTACTCCCAGTAAATTATTCATTTGATAATGTTACTATGGTTACAGCTATGCGGCATTCTTTCCTATTATTTATTATCATTATTACTTTTCATTCATTACAGCTTCACTATAAGTGGTGCTTTGCTTTTCAAATCTTGCCTTTTTTTAGATTCTTAGCATACCAGCATAGATTTAATATTCAGTAGATCTCAAAATGACATCAGTGTTGTTACTATATAAGTGCCAAACTAGCATTTCTTAAAGGAAGAGCCAATCAACCTTCCTTCAGTGCCTTTGATTTCAATTCTGATAGCTACAGAGAAGATAAACTGATGAAAGCACCATAAAACATACTGTTCACTCTGATTTTGCCACCTATTGCTGACATATATTACTACTACTACTACTACTACTACTACTACTACTACTACTACTACTACTGGATTGTTGCAAGTAGAATTTCTGCCATCTCTGTAGAATACAAATGCTTCCTTATAGTACTGTATTGATTGGTATGTGTTTAAACAGTATTTGTGAAGCTCATACAGAGATTGCAGTACAGACTTCTTCAATTAATTTCCACTTCTTTCATATGTTTTTGTAATTGAAGAATGGACTTGCTTTGGTTGATTGGTTAGCGTAATCTCCAACAATAAAAGAGGACTGGGCCAGCAGAGAAAACCAACACAAAATACATAAGCAACGGGCTCTTCAGCTACCCTGCAGAACAGTGTAACTTTAATACTCTTGATAATTTTCAAATAGTACTATGGGAACATTAGAAAAGGTAGAAAATGGTTTTAGACAAGATTGGTTTATTGGAACAAGTTAAATAGCAGGTAAATTGACAAAAATTTTCCCAATAGCAGATAAAATGAGTCTTTAGCAGCTCCCTTCTCAAATCCTTTGCTTATTTATTTATTAAATTTATTTGCTGCCCATCTTGAATCAAAACAACTCTGAGCAGCATACAGCATTAAAACATTATAATCCAATCAGATAAATATCTCTAAAACAATAAAAATGGAAATCCCAATCAAAATAAAATTACAGTTAAAGATGAGGAGGGAGGGAGCAGGATGATCAGGGGAGGGAGGTGGGACTCCCTCTTAAATCATCACCACCTCTAGTGTGACACTGCCACGTTGGGGCCCCAAGCCATCTGGTTTGTAGACCTGAGCCAGGTCTTCAGGCTCTTGTAGAAGGTCAGAGAGGTGAGAGCTGATCTCACCTCAGGGGGTAAGATGTTCCAAAGGTCAGGGAAGAGGAGACCCTTAGCCTGGACCCCAACCAGCCAGAATTCTTTGACTAATGGGGTCCATAGCATGCCTCCTTTGCCGGCATGGGTGGAATGAACCAATCCCAGTGGGGTATGATGGTTCCTCAGGTAACCTGGATCCATGCCATGCAGGGCTTTATAAGTAATAACCAACACCTTGAATTGCACCCAGTAGCAGTCCAGCAGCCAGTGCAGCTTACAGAGCAATGGTGTGACATGGATCATTCTACGGACTCCAAGAACTGCCAGTGCCGCTGCACTCAATTGAAACTTCCAAATGCTCTTCAAGAGTAACCCCATATAGAGCGCATTGCAATAGTCCAGACATCAGATGACCAGGGCTTCCATGACTGAGTGCAGGAACTTCTGATCCAGGAAAGGCCACAACTGATGCACTACCCGAAGTTGTGCACCCTAGCTTTGACAGCCAACTGTTCTTTGAGCAGGAGTCACGAGTTCAGGTGAACACCCAAGTTGCAAACCGAATCTGTCTGGGGTAATGCAATTCCATCCAGAACTAAACTGGTTTAAAGTCCCAGATCTTGAAGCTTTATGCATCCAGAGCCATTAGGTCTTGCCAGGATTCAGCCAAAGCCTGTTATCCCCCATTCGGTCCCACACAGCACTGCAAGAGGGCAGCAACTGCATCACTTGGATCATCAGAGGTGGACATATGAAGTTGAGTATCATCAGCATACCTCAACCCCTTTTCAAGCTGAGACATTGTTGCTTCATGAGAACTGGGGGCCATACTTTTCACCTCTGCTGTCTGTTGGGTAGTTTTTATCTAAAGTATCAAATCTCCGATTCAATTCATTAAGTTTATGATTGAAGTTATCTGCTAAGATTTTTATCTAAATAAATTTATCTGCATAAATTCAGTCATTCCACGAAGATTGTGTATCATGGGAAAGACGTTTTAAAGTGGTAAGAAGCTCAGTTTGATTCCTACTCCCTTAAAAAAGAAAAGATCTCATCCATAAAGGTTACCTGATAACTGTCTCAACAGGTTTTCTTTGCTTTTCCTCAAATAGGGAAGGAAGCTTTCATTTCCATCGTCTTCTCAATTTTGAACCCATGATGAATCAAATATAAGATACTGCTGGCTAGCAATTTAACCAAAAACTACTTTTCCAATTTGGCACTCAAAAGATTAACAAGTTATGAAAAAGCCTAAGTCATATTTCAGCATTTTGCTATGTTAGTTTGATATATTGAGATCTCGAATAGGTTATTCTTCAGTTAAATTCAAATACGAAGACATCTAAAGTTAAAGCCACAATTCTTTTCTCTACTCAATTATCTTTCCCTCAGTGCTTTGAGGAATGAACCCAGGCAATGGATGGAATAGGGAGTGAGAATTATTGAGTACTATTGTCAATATATATATTGGGCTATGGGGAAATATGTGCTAAGGGACCACCTCCTCTACTTGTTCTTTTGAAATAAAAGTTGGGGAAGCAGTATGTATGATCTTTAGTTGGTCATGCTCAGTGCTTCACTCTTTTCTGGAGAATATCAAATATGGAGAACATATTCTTGAGGACTGTTTTCCAATAATAATAATAATAGTAGTAAAGTTGGAAGGGACCTTGGAGGTCATCTAGTCCAACCCCCTGCTCGGGCAGGAAACCCTACACCATTTCGGACAAATGGCTGTCCAGTCTCTTCTTAAAAACTTCCAGTGTGGGAGCATTTACTGCTTCTGGAGGC